CTCTCTGCTGTGTGGGGGAGTCTCGGATGTCCAACATGGTGTTAGCTCCACTTGGAGCGTTTTCCGCACTGAGAACATCTCAGCGGTTTCTTCCCTATACAGATTTCTAGATGCTTGATACTCCGGGAGCACCTAATGCTTCCCCCGCATTCAAGGGCTCTCTGCTGTGTGGGGGAGTCTCGGATGTCCAACATGGTGTTAGCTCCACTTGGAGCGTTTTCCGCACTGAGAACATCTCAGCGGTTTCTTCCCTATACAGATTTCTAGATGCTTGATACTCCGGGAGCACCTAATGCTTCCCCCGCATTCAAGGGCTCTCTGCTGTGTGGGGGAGTCTCGGATGTCCAACATGGTGTTAGCTCCACTTGGAGCGTTTTCCGCACTGAGAACATCTCAGCGGTTTCTTCCCTATACAGATTTCTAGATGCTTGATACTCCGGGAGCACCTAATGCTTCCCCCGCATTCAAGGCCTCTCTGCTGTGTGGGTCACTGAGGTGTGAAGTCAAATTGAATCTTTTTCTGCAGTCTGGCTATTCCTAGGCTCTCTCATACCTCTGTGGATTCTCTGACTTTTAATGAGGGGTGATCGCTGAATGAAGCTTTCCCCACAGTCCAAGCACCGATGAGGTCTCTCTCCTGTGTGGATCCTTTGATGTGTTATAACGGCTGACTTCTACAGGAAACATTTCCGACAGTCGAGGCAATTCTGAGGTTTGTCTTAAGAAGGAATGTGAGGTGTGCAATAAGACGAGAGCTCCAATTAAACTTTTGCTACTTTCAAAATATTTATAGTGTCTTTCTCACATGTGGGTTTTCTCATGTTGAGTGAGTTTTGAGCTACAGTTACAATTTTCCCCACATTCCAAGCATATATAAGGTCTCGCTCTCGTGTGGATTCTCTGATGTCTAATACGTTGTGAGCTTAGTATGAAACCTTTCCCACAGTCCAAGAACTTATGAGGACCCTCTCCTGTGTGAAGTGTCTGATGTGTAAGAAGTGCTGATCTCTCTGTGAAACCTTTCCCACAGTCCAAACACTTATGGGTTCTCTCTCCTGTGTTTATTTTCTGATGCTTGTTAAGGGCAGTAAACGATCTAAACTCCTACATGCCACAGGGGGCTTCAACAAGGGTACCCTTAACTCACCCAGCAATATTGTTAATCTATCCAAACACACACTTAACCCGGCAGAAGAGTCTGTCCTATCTCAGGGACTCTCTTTCTGCCCCACCACCCACCCGCACATGATACAATTCTGTGGTGATCTGGAAGCCTACTTTTGTCGTCTCCGACTCAAGGAATATTTTCAACACGCCATTGAACAGCGCACTGACCCAAAGGAACCCTCCTATCAACAATACGAGAAGAAGAATTCTGCGTGGACTCCTTCTGACGGTCGAAATGACAGAGTGGACTTCTACACAGAGTGCTTCCACAGACTTGCACAGGCTCAGATTGTGAACAAACAGCATCACTTGCCCCATAACCTCAACCGCACAGAACGCAATGCCTTCCACGGCCTCAGAAACAAGCCTGACATTCTAATCAAAGGGGCTGACAAAGGAGGTGCTGCAGTCATCATGAACAGGTTGGATTATGAACAGGAGGCTGCCAAGCAACTCTCCAACACCACTTTCTACAGGCCACTATCCTCCGATCCCACTGAGAGGTACCAAAAGAAACTACACCAACTGCTCAAGAAACTCCCTGCTATAGCACGGGAACAAATCTACGCAGACACACCCCTAGAGCCCTGACCAGGGGTATTCTATCTGCTACCCAAAATCCATAAACCTGGAAATCCTGGACGCCCCATTATCTCAGGCATTGGCACTCTTACAGCAGGATTATCTGGCTACGTGGACTCTCTCCTCAGACCCTATGCTAGCAGCATTCCTAGCTATTGTGAAAGTTACTAGTGACCCCCCCCCCTTAACAGAGCAGCCTTTATGTCAACCAGTGGCCATTAGGAGGAAGCAGACACTTCAAGTACACAGTAGCCTGAACTTTTCAACTGTTTTCCCTTCAAGTAGGGTTACCATTCGTCCGGATTCCCCCGGACATGTCCGGCTTTTTCGGGTTAAAAATAGCGTCCGGGGGGAAGTTTTCAATGTCCGGACGTCCCCTCCCCCCCCCCCCCCCCCCCCCCCATGCAGAGCGTGCGCGCGGCTTACAGAGCAGCCGGTGCTCCAACAGCCAGAGCCA